CTGCTAACAAGCAGGGGGAGGGGAGGGGTGAGGGCCGGTAGGCTGGTCCTGAGGGTCCGGTGTCAGGGCCCGGCACCTGCCAGGCTACACCTGCCTCTGGTCACCTTCCCCTGCCTGGTGACAGGACCCTCCCCTTGGGCACCTGACCTTCGGGGTTACAGGCTCAGTGCTGACCCAGACCTCTGACCCAGGCCCCATTGTGGCTTGCAATAGCAGCGACCCCACCGTTCCCTCCACTGCTGAGCACCCATTCTGCCTCATGTCTGTAAGTGTTCGGAGGCCCTCATGGGCTCTGACCTGCTCTGACGTTCGCCTGCCCTGTTCCATCTCTCCTGCCCCAGCCCTGGGTGCGCTTCCGTCGAAGAGGCTCAGCTCCACCAGCGAGAGGTCGTATAGGTGAGCATCACCTCGTCTCTTCTGGCCGCGTTTGGGACAGAGGCCACCAGGTGTTGACTCCATCCTTCCTGGGATGCGGCAGAGGTGACACTGAGCTCCCAGTATTGAAGGACAGCCAGGCCCGTGCAGCCCCCTCCTGGCTCCGTGGCAGAGAGGGCTGCTGCCAGAGGTGCCCGTGTCCGTGTGAGGAGCCCAAGGTCAGAGCTTGGCTACCTGGCGCAGTGGAGGAGGAGAGAGAAAGGATGCAGGAGGAGGGGAAGGAGGGGATGGATGGAAGATGCAGAGAACAGATGGCTCCAGGGCGAAAGCTGGACGCAGGAGGATGGAGGCAGGAGGGGAGGTGAGACAGGGAAAGGACGAGGAGCAGGAACGGTAAATGGCAGAGGAGGTGGAGGACAGCATGAAGGAGGAGTGGGGGGAGAAGGAAGCGTGGCTGAGGTGGAAGGAGGAGTAGGTCTGGGAGTGGGGCAGACGTGGAGGATGGAGGGGTAGGAGGGTGGAGGCGAGGGGCTGGCCGAGGACAGTGTAGCAGCTGAGGGAGGAGGAGGTAGGATGGAGAAGTGATGGAAGATGACAGTAGGAGAGGAGGATGCAGGGGATGAGGTGTGTGGGTGGAGGAGGGAGACCAGCAGAACAGAGGAGAGTGGGGGGAGGATGTCAGAGCATCGGCAACGCCAGAGCCCAGTGCTCACTCCAAGCCCTGTGCTTGTGTCCTGGATTTTAGAGGTGTCCTGTACATCCGGCCCCAGATCAGAGAGACTAGCCACATGCGGACGTTTGGCCTGTGGGCTGGGGTGGGGACACAGGGCCTCACTTGGTGCAGCGCTTTGTCCCCAGTGCTCTCGATGAGTCACCAGCCCCACACACGCCACCTGTGTGCCCTGTGGGTTGGGCCTTCTGTGCCTGTCCGGGAACAAGTGGGTGCCTCTGTGTCAACGGGGGAAATGAGGCCCTTCCCCCTTTGCCTTGTTCAGAACTGTGGACCGAGAGATGATCTCAGCAGCACAAAGGCTGCCTGACGTCAAATATGTCATCCTTTTCCCAAACCAACACATTCCTGATCAGCTGGTGTGTTGTCTGAGCTGATTCACCAGCCAGAATCAGCTGCGAGTTAAGTCGAATGGAGTAGGTATGAGCATCTTGTCCTAGAGGCCCCTGGTCCCCAATCCCTGCTCTGCCTCCCAAGTGGGGCCATTCTGGGTGGGTGAGTGGTCCTGGGAAGAGCCTAGCGGGCAGGAGCCCGGCGCCACCCTGGCAGTATTTTAATCTATGTACAGTTTCTCAGCTGCCACCTTCAGGGTCTCCTAGGGCTGAGACAGTGGGGAATCTGGCTTAGAGAGCTCTTTTTCTTAAACTCACACATCATCAAATTTAGCTGTTAAAGTATACCATTCAGTGCAACCATCACCACTATTTCCACATCTCACTAACTCGTAATAAATCTCTTATTCATCAGCAGATACCCACCACCCCTCCCCCAGCCCTGGGGACCAATGATCCAGTTTCTGTCTTGGATCTGGCGATGCTGGACATTTCAGATCAGTGGAATCATACAATATGCGGTCTCTTGTGTCCTATTTCTTTTCCTGAGCATCATTTCCATCCGTGTTGTAGCCCAGATCATTATTTCCTGCCCGTGGTACAGGAGGGTTCCAATCTCTCCGCATCCTCGTGTTATTGGTAATAGCCATTCCATGGGCGAGAAAGTGGTGTGTCCTGTGTTCTTGATTTGCATCTCCCTGATGGCTGGTGAGGTTGGGCAGCTTCTCCTACACCTGTTGGCCTTATTCTCTAAAGCTGCGTAGACTTTGGAGAAAGGCCTATTCATGTCTTCTGCCCATTTTCTAATTGGGCCGCTTCTTTTTATTGTTGAGTTAGGAGTTTTTATATATTCTGTATAGTAGGCTCCTTATCAGATAGGTGATTTACAAATATTTTTATTGTGTGGGCTATCTTTTCATTTTATTGATGGTGTCATTTGAAGCACAGAAGTTTTTCACTTTGATAAAGTCCAGTTTATCAATTTTTTTCTGTTGCTCGTACTTTTTTCTTTTTTTGCCCATGCCACAGGACATTTGGGATCTTAGTTTCCCCACCAGGGGATCGAACCAGTGCCTCCTGCCGTGGAAGCACAGAGTCCTAACCACCAGACCGCCAGGGAATTCCGCTGTTGCTCCTACTTCTGATACCTGAGCAAAACGTGATTCCCGGAAGCTGCAGGAGCCCCTCCCCAGCCAGCAGCTGCCCTCTCCTTTCCTCAACGCCCGAGGCCAGGAGCACGCCCCACTGCGCTGCGGCTCAGCACTTCACTTGGGCCTCCTGGCCCACTTCTTGTTCCTCATCATCTCGTTGTGACAGAATTTCTCAGGCGGCTGGGAGAGGGGAGTCTGGAAATGGAAGTGTTAGGAGGTGTGGGTGCAAACCACGACCAGCCAACTGGGATGCCACCCGCCTAGGTGGCACAGTTTTCTCCCCCCTCTGATCAGACAGACCAGAGAGCTGCCAAAAGGAAGCCAACTTCCACTTGCTGGTTCCCTGAAGTTCTTTAGTGCACTGGAATATATGGACATATTTGTCTTGTAGCATCGGACATGGAGAAGCTGGAGACCCTGCTGGCCTTGGAACGAGCTGAAATAACATCAAAATACGAGCAGGTGAGGCCGCGGCAGAGATCGTAGACACTGAGAGCAGGTGCAGCCCAGGAAAGTGAGGCCCGATGGGGATCATAGCCAGGTAGAACAGGTAAGGCCCAAGTGGGTATCATCACCAGTCAGAGCAGGTACATCCCCCAAGCAGGACTCATAGCAGCCCAGTTGAGGATCGTGGCCCCCGGGAGCAGTTATGTCCCAGGAGGAATCAGAGTCAAGCATGAGCAGGGGAGGCCCAGGCCGGGATCACAGTCATCAGTAGCAGGTGAGGCCCAGGTGGGGAATGACAGCCAGCACAGCCAGCAGGAGCAGGTATGTCCCTGGTGAGATCGTAGCCAAGGAGGAGCAGGTGAGGCCCAGCTGGGGCCCATCGCCAGGTATGTGTAGGTACAGTCCAGTGGGAAGCATAGGCAGCAGGAGCAGTTATGTTCCAGGAGGGGATCACGGCCAAGGCTGAGTAGGCAGAGCCGGGGAGGATATCCTCACCAGGAGGAGCAGGTATGCCCGGGTCGGGGTCACAGCAAGCAGGACCAGGTGGCCCAGGCAGGATCCTAGCCAGGTGCCAGCAGGGGAGGCCCAGGCAGCTCCCACTCAGGCAGGCGGGTCTGGTGCTGAGCCCCTGGGACACAGGGCAGGGGAGCGATCCAGCCCCTCCTTTCCCCACATCTCTGGCCCTGGTTGCGCCCTCACCATGGGCCCATCTGGGTTTCAGGGACTCCAGGCAAGGGCTCCAGTGGATCCAGGGGAAGACACTGACCTCTCACTGTACAAAGTCACCGACAGGCTAGGATTTTTGCCGTTAGTCATCGGCATGCCCTTCCTTCCCACCTCGGGGCGGGTTTCCATTTGCAGAAAGACCTCTCTGGAGGCGGGACCCATCGCCCCAGCTCAGAGCCTCGACCCCTGGTGGCCACAGTGGGTCAGGGTCTGCACCGAGCTGGAGATGAGAGGACTCGAGGAGGCGGTAGGGGCAGGGCTGGGTGCCAGTCCAGGCCTGGGCATCAGCCGCGAGGCCTCCACGCACAGCCCTGGTCTCTGCCTCCGGGGTCAGAGGGAGGTCTCAGCCTGGGCCACAGGTCTCTGAAGATCCGGTGGGCCCAGCCAAGCGGCCACATGGGACAGTCCCGGAGGGTAGTGCAAGGTGTGGCCTCAGGCGTTGCAGGGATGGGCAGGCGGAGAGGGCAGGCAGGACCCGGCCTAAGCAGCTCACGGGAAGGTGACAGAGGCAGGAGAGTTTGCAGCAGAACACGACCTGACCCCTCAGCCTGGGAGGACACTCGGGGAAGAAGGCCGGGCCCGGCCACGGTGTGGGGAGAGAGGAGGAGACGCGCGTGTACCTGGATGGAGCTGGCCCGGGGCAGGCTGCGTGTGCTGGGCTCCTGGAGGGCAGCATCCTCTCTGCAGGAGGGCGGCCTCGAACAAGGCGAGGCCCTGGGCAGCGACTCACCCGAAACACCTGAGCCAGGGCCTCCGCTCTCCGGCAGGGCAGGGGCCACGAGGGCACGCAGCCCACCCCCGAGCCAGCACCCTCCTGGGGTCAGCCCCCACCTCCGGAGTCTCCTGGGCTGAGACCTGGGGGTTGATGGGGGTGGGTGGGGCCTTCCGGGCACCAAGCCCGGTGCAGGTCCTCACACTCTGCTTCTCTTGCCCTCCACTCAGGAGGCGCTGCCTAGCCTCAGCACCCAGGGCCTCAGCACCCACTGGGCAAGGGTAAGAGCCCGTCCGTGCTGTACTGGCAAGGGGAGGTCATGGGCACAGCTGCGGTTCCCTGCCACTGCTGACCCCAGAGCCGTCGAGGTGTCCTCGGGCTGGGAGGGGTCTGTGCCTCTCCTGGCCCTTTTGAGTTCACACCCATTAGGGCCACCCTAGGAAGCTGGCAGCTGGGCCAACATCACCATTTCCCATTTTCCAGCACAAGAAGCACAGGAGATTGAGCAAGCCGACAAGTGGGTGAAGATGCTGTGGAACTGGAGTAAATACCAGAGCAGTGAGAAGGTAGAAGGCTGAGCATCCTGGCCCTGAAAGGCGCTGGCCTGGGTGCCCCACAAGGCCTGGGGAGAATCCGATGCCAGAGCCGCAGCCAGCCCAGCCCAGGACCCGCAGGAAGGGAGCAGCTGGGGCCACGGTCTGCTCTTAGTTTTGAGAGGCCAGGCCCAGGTCTAGGCAGACCTGGCTCCTCCCGAGCATCTTCCAGATGCTTCTCGCTCCATCTCCTCCTCGGAGTCCTCCCCACCTGTCTCAGGGCTGGCTTCTCTCCCGTAGATGCAGTGGCGGGTCTACAAAGGAATCCCCCCACACGTTCAAGGTCAGGTATGGTCTCTCCCGTTGGATGTGGAGAAGGTGAAAGCAGAGACAAAGGGAAATACCACATACAGCCTGTCCACCTGTTCAGGGGCAGCACTGACAGGCCAGGTCATCAGAAGCTTGGGGGGAGGGCTGCACCTCGGGGACCCCTTGCCCATCCCCAGTGCTTTCCTGGCACCTCCCAGGCTCACAGCTCACAGGCCCGCCTGGCAGGAAGGCCCTGCACAACCCCCCTGCTGCCCATCCCGTCTGGCCCAGTGCAGACACTGGATCCAGAGATGGATAGATGCCACCTGGAATCAAAATAAGCCCTCCCGGACAGCTGAGCGGGGGGAGGGGCAGAGTCACACAGCAAGGGATAGAAACCAGGGGGGAAAGAGCAAGGAGACACCCACAGAAACCATGAAAGGAGAAGGCAAAGCCAAACCTGAATCAGGACAAGAAACAGGTCTTTTCCCATTGCCCCAGAGAGGCCCCTGCACCCGTCCTGTTCGCACCGCTCAGCCCCGCCTCTCCACCGAGGGTACCCCCAGGTCACATAGCCCGGGGAGGCTGCTCTGTGTGCCCAGACAGTGTAGGAGCAGCAGGGGAAATGCAGCAGGAGTGGGTGTAACGGTGGTGGTCACGCTTCTACAAGCAGCCCGAAAACACGTTAATCTAAGCTAAGAATGTGGTAAACACCCACTGATAATTGTGGGACCACACCCAGAATCAAGCTCAGTCCCAAAGCTCTTAAAGGGTCCCCCGAAAACCAGGCAGATACATACAGAGATCAAGATAATATGCGGAGGTCAAGAATGTCCCTCTACATGAACAAAAAAAGCTCTGAAACTGGTAACATGCTTGTCTATTAGGTCTAAGGGGAGCCCCAAGGATACTTTTCACCTTCTTAACCAGGGGTCTGAGAGGGGGGTGTCAGGGCTGTGGAGCTCCGCACTCCTCCTGGGCTGTTTCAGCGTCAGGGTGATGGGAGCCCGAGCCCCCCGTTCCCCAGGGCCCTGAGTCTGGCTGGTGCCAGATTCACACTTGGGAAACGAGGAGCAGGTGACTATCAGAGGTGAAGGCAGTGAGCCCTCGCCCGGCCTAGCCTGTTCCCGCCTGTTCGCTGTGCCACTCCGGCAGGTGTCACGGAACAGAGGCCCAGCGGCCCACCCTCCCCACCACCACCACCCCGTACCTGGGAGCAGCCTGGGGGGCAAGCTCAGGGCCGGCGGGCCCGGTCATCCTGGAAGGCCCCATGCTGGGGGCGGAGGAGGGGTCCAGCTGGCCTGGACGGTGCCTTCTTAACTGGCAGGGGTCTGGGCCTTGCACGTAGGCGTCACTCGTGACCCGCCCTGGCTTCAGAAACAAGCAAAATGAGCTTTCTACCGAAACAGCTCACGTTCCGCGGTCGGCCCAGCGCCCGCTCTCTCGCGGTACTTGTGGCTGTCGGTACGGGTTCGGCTTGACGCTGGCCCCGCCCACAGGGAATGAAAGGCTGTACGCCCCGGTATAAGACAGATAGAGCTGGATGTGACCAGCGCTTTCTGAAATCACATCATGTTCCGGGAGCGCTACGGCATCAAGTGGGTTCCCAGGGCGCCCCCCGGGGTGAGGGTGAGGTCGTGGACCTGGGGTGGCGGGATGCCCGACCCCTGGCCTGGCTGAGCCTTGAGGGAGCACTAGTGGGCACGTAAGGAGCAATGGCAGAGGTGTGGAGCACAAGGCAGGGGGCGGGAGGCCGAGGGGAGAGTGGGGGCCGGCCGGACAGGCTCAACGGGCCTTGTGCTCAGCAGTCACACTCCTTCGTATTTACCCAAAGGAGTTGAAAATTTGCATCCACATAAAACCTGCATGCAATCTTCACTGCTTTGTTCATGATCGTTAAAAACTGGAAACAACCAAGATGATCTTCAACAAGGGAATGGATAAACCGTGGAATTCCATGAAATGGACTACGATTCAGGGACACAAAGGAAAAAGCTATTGCTTCACTCAAGAGCATGGATGACTCAGACACATTTTGCTAAGAGAAAGAATCCAGACCCATGTATGATTCCATTCATAGGACATTCTGGAAAAGGCACAGCCCCAGGAGGATAAGGATCAGCGGCTGCTGGGGCTGATGGTCTGGGAGCTTGAGCTGGAGCGCAGATGCAGAGGCCCCTCCTGTGGATGAAAACCCACGGGGCTGTACATCCCAGAGACTCAACTATAATGTGTGCAAGCTGCAAAAATAAAGAAAATAACTTGTCAAACTGTATACCTGGGATATTTGCATTTCATTGCATGTAGACTTTACTCCTGAAAAATATTTAACACTGAGGTGCCCTGAAGACTTCACTGCTTTTTTGGCTTATTTCTTAAACACACCTGTTTTGTCGTGAGGGTTTGTCAGACAACATGAAACTAAGATCCGCAGCATGAAACAAGCACCCCTGTGTCCCCTTCCCCAGGCAGCAAGCCCTGTTCCATGTGCTGGCGGCCTACTCCATGTAGACACTGTGAGTGTACCCAAGCTCAGGCCCTGCCCCTTCCAGGGGGTCTTCACGCTGGTCAGTACGCAGGCGCACAGGGTCACAGAGATGATGCAGGGGGCTCCCCAGTCTCAGACTGAGACGGAAAGGCTGGGGTGCAGACCTCTGCTTTTCAGAACAGAAACGGCCCCCTACTCCTGGGTTGCACGAGCCCCACGCTTGGCAGGGCTGCCAGGTGCTGGCCTCAGCAGAAAGTTTTTGTAACAAGTTAGCTCGAGGCCTAATAAGCATCACTGTGGTCATGAAACTTGAGTTTTGATCCTGAAGATGCCATATTATTAATCGGAAACTTAGCAGGGATGGACGTTCCCAGTAACCCAGATGCCTGTGGGCCCCCACGGAGGTAGCTCCCACCCCATCTGCTCTTTCCAGAACATTCCCTCCAGGAACACCAGCTGAGAGGACCCCACGGGCTGCCCACGGTGGGGTCTTGGGCCAGTCTCCTGGCCTTGTGCCCTCCAAGGCCCGCACGGGCCACAGTCAGGCCCCCTGCCTGCTCTCACGGCAGGACCTCCAGACCCCATCACCCTGCATGCCTCGTCTGAGAAAGGGGACCTCAGGACAGCGCCCAGAGCCTCAGGCACGGAGCTCTCCCAGCCCGGAGGGCATCTCAGGTGGCCCCCTCCAGGGCGGTGTGAGCTCAGCTGGGCGGGAGCCGTCTAGGAGATGAGGTGGGAGTGTGATGAGGGGGCAGAGGAGGCCTCCATGTGCTTCTGGCTCTTGCAGGAGGTGGGCACTGCCAGAGCATGAAACAGGTTGTGGCCGTCCTGCTGATGTTCCTGAGCAAGGAGGACACCTTCTGGGCGCTGGTCCAGCTGATGACTGACGAGAAGCACGCCACGCATGGTAGGTGCCTGATGTGGACTGCTGGGTGTGCCTCAGGGCCAGGTGTCTCCCCGCAGAGTTCCCCTGGCAGCAGGGCTGGCGGGGACCCCAGCCCAGTCCATCTCTCCATCAGCGAAGGGCCCTGGCTCCCCACGCTGCCCTCTGGGCCCTCAGTCCCGGCCACATCTAGACAACTCTCCCTTCCCTGCTGGTCCTTCTGCCTCATGCCTGCCACCCCCCAGTGCCCTCCGAACCCATGGCCAGACAAAGCCCCACAGCACCCCCTCCTGTGCCCCCAGCCTGGATGCCAAGCCCAGGAAACAGCCAGGCACACTCCTGTCCCCCACCCCGTGGGCCGCACACCCTGTCCCTTACTACCGGGACCCCCATCCCACACTGTGGCTGCTCTGGGGAGGGCGAGTGCCAGGACCAAATGCCCGCCCGGCCCTCAGCCCAGGGCACCAGCTGAGCTGGGCCTCCAGGAGTGGGGCCTGTGCCCCGGCCTCACAAGCTGTCCTGCCCGGGAAGGGCATGTACAGCCAGGGCTCGGGAGGGCCCCACACGCTGGGGTCACTGCCGGGGACACCTGCGGTACTCGACCCGCCCCAGGCACGGCTCTGACTTGTGGGGGTCCGGGGGCTCCTCAGGCTTCTTCATCCCGGGGTTCCCAAAATTGCTGAGATTCCAGGCCCATCACAAGCACATTCTAGGCAGCGGCCTGGTGAGTGGAAGTGTCATCCCCCACCACAGAGGCGCTGTCCCACGGCCACTTCGGGGGCCTGGCCCTCCTGCAGGCTTCATTCTCCTTCTCCTGGGGGGCCAGGGGCAAGCTCGGGCCGAGCAGGCCCATGGGCAGCACATCCCCCTGGGCCCTGGGGGTGGCTGCACAGGGCCCTGAAACAGGGAGGTTTCTGGCCCAGCGGGCAGGCCCTGAGCCCCTGTGTCCGCCATTAGGACGAGGAGCAGGTGTCCACGGGGATTTACACCACCAAGTGGTTCCTTCAGTGCTTCATCGACCGGGTAAGGCTGCCCAGGGATGCTGGGTCCCCAAGGCGCTCCCTGCCCCCCACTCCTGACGCCCGGGGAGGGCCCAGCCCCACCCCCGGACATGCCAGGCCTCTCCTGAGGGACATCTGAGGGGCAGCCCAGAGCCCTCCTGGTGGGCACGGAGCACCTCGAAGTCCCAGGGACCAGCCATTTCCGCCTTGGCTCCCATCCAGCAGGCTGGGTCAGCCCTGGGTGCAGGCAAACCAGTGTCGTGCTCCGCTGAGGTGTTCCCACCGAGTGTGGGACAGTCTCTGTTGCCCCCCAGGTTAGTAGTCATGCTGGCCAGGCCCTTAGGACCCTGAGTGGCCTAGCAGGAGCATCTTCGTCCAGGAGCCACGACCCCACCAAGACGAGCCCACTCAGATGAGGAGCTGTAGGACTTTGTCTGATGCAGCCTGGGGGGTTTGTAGGGACCAGAGGCAGATGCGGGGTGGGGGTGGGGGTTCTTAGCCTGTGCTGAGACCCCCACTGCGCCCTGCTCAAGCTGCCCCTCCTGTGCCTACTGTCCCCACAGACCCCCTTTTTGCTCACCCTGAAGCTCTGGGACACCTACATCCTATGGGCCGAGCGTGTGCTCACGGCCATGGCATACACGGTCCTCAAGGTGCACAAAAGTAAGTGGGCCTGAGCATGGAGCACACAGGCTGAGGCAGAGGGAGGGCCAGCCGGCACGCAAGCTGGGCAGTGTGCCCTCCGGAGAGCGCCCTTTGCTATGGCCCTGCCCATGGCTGTCCCAGGCACAGCTGGACCCCCAGGTGTGGCACACAGTGGAACACAGCCACAGCCCACGGGGGGTGCCCCAGGATGCGGGGGGCTGAGCCTTCCCAGTGGGGCCCCCTGACAGCATCCGCAGCCCTAGAACGCTTCCTGAAGCTGCCCCTGGAAGGCCTGTAGGAGTTCCTGCAGGACACTCTGTCCCAGGTCTGGGCCCTGGAAGATGACACAGTGCTCAGGCAGCTGCAGGCCTCAATGGCTGAGCTATGCAGGATGAAGTGTGACTTGCTCCCCCGCCAGATGGGCTCAGCTGCGGTCTCCTCCCGAGTCACCCTCTGGGGCAGTGAGCAGTAGGGTGAGCCCCAGGCCTTCCTCCTCATCCCCATCCATCTGCTCTTCTGCTCTAACACTCGGCCGACCACACCAGGGCTGGGCATCAGGGCAGCCACCACACCAGAGGCAGCCATCTGACCTCTGGAAGATACCAGAGGTCAAAGGCCTGGAAGGCTGCTCTCAGTGTTGGGCTGGGGCAGCCATGCAGGGCCCCATGGGCCCACCCTGCGCAGGCTGAACGGCCGGGTGGAGAAGTTGACCCAGTCTGTTCATTTCCAGCAAAACCTGAGGAGCTCCCCACGAGGCCCCTGGGCCTCTCCCTACCCCTCGCAGCATCAGGATGCTCCCCGGAGACGACAGACTGGCCCTCCCTGGCCCACCTGCCCAGCACAAGTAGCCCGGACCCTCACCTGGCCCAGCCGTCCGGAAGGCCAAGGAGCAGCAGCAGCATGAGGGGACCATGGGTGCAGGCCTCCCTCTGGGGGCCTCGGAGGCTCCAAGTCTGGCCTGCCTGCCCCCAGCCCAGGACAGGCTTCAGGATCGGCTGCGGCCACGGCGATGGAATTCCCTCCCAAACCTCCCAGTGAACCATGAGGCCACAGGCAAGTGGCCCCCGGACATCAGCTTTGAGCCGGAAGGCTGGGTCCCTTCCCCTGCAGCGCCTGGCTGGGCCACCCCCAGGGCCGTATGACAGGCCTGGCCCTGCAAGCCCACTGAGGCCCCAGCCACCGGCTCTGCCCAGCCTGCTGAAGACAGCACCGCCAGGCCCAGGATGCTCCTCCTGCTCTGTGGCACCTGCAGCCAGCACCCCTTCCAGGGCAGTGACCAGCACAGCCACGACGGAGTCAGGGCAGTGCCCCAAGAGCTGCCCCAAGGCCCCGCACGTCCCCATGACCCCCTGACCTCTACAGCCACAGGGAAGCTGGACATTCAGGGGCCTCCAGAAGACAAGGTGACTGTGAGCACAGTGACCCCGAGGCCCTGGGAAGCCAGCGACGCACCCTGCTTCTTCATGCTGGCCTTCCTGGAGGACGGTGCCCCCCTCGCACAGCACAAGTCCCTGACCCAGAAGGGCCAGGCCTGGCCTGCATTTAGGCCCCGGGAGGGCAGGGCGCCGTGAGCCTAACCCCAGCCAGGATGATGACTAAAGGGGCTGCCCTGGCCAGTCCAGAATTCTGGCCCAAGGCAAAGCGAGCCTTCTCGGAGCTGTATATGGCCAGCTGGGGTATAGACGTGCCCCACAAGGCCACTTCGGTGACCTGAGGTGTCTTTGGGAGCAACAGGCCACCTCCAGCGAGGGGTGGAAGAGGCAGGTGGGCTGACCTCACTCTCACACACATAAGGAGGCAGGGCTGGCCAGATGCCAGAGCCCACGCAGCCACCTGGGCCCCGCAAGGCAGAGCAGAGGACGCTGCTGGGCGGGCTGGACCCAACAGGCTGCCTCCCTTCCTCTGCCAAAGTCAGTTACTTCCTTTCAGGGTACCCAAAACTCAGGAAATACAACCCCATCCAGAGGCCAAATGAGCTCCCCACCTCCCAGCCATTCCTTTTGAAGGCCTCCCTCCCAGGGGAAGGGACAGCCTTTGATCTCAATTTCCCCCCTTGCTGGTTAAATGTTAATAAAGTTTCATGTGTTAAGTACTAGACTGGCGGGTTCTTGCAGCACACAGAGGTCTCCGCAGGATGCCCCCGGGGCCCCAAGAGGCAGAGGAGCTGCCGGCTGGACAAAGCTGAGGTTCCCGCATGCCTCCTATGGGGCCACACATACCGCAGCCTCTCAGCCTCAGCCAAACACAGGGGTCAAGACCATCAGATAATTTACTGCGATTCAGCCCATGCCCAGCGGGCGGCCACGAGCAGACCCCCCAGTCCCTCCCCAACCCTGCCCTGCAAACGGTGAGCTGGGCCCTGCTCGTCTCGGGCCCCTGGGCCACTCCGTTGGGAGGCCTGTCCTCAGCAGCTCCCTCACGGCCCACTGACAACTGCGGGGTGCTCTGGGGACACAGGGGCTGCGGCTCCAGGGTCACTGCTCCAGCCTGGCTCAGAGCAGCTCTCTCTGGGGACCTCCACCTCCCCTAGGAGCTGTGTCGGCCCAGACCCAGGCCCTGGCCTCCCTCGCTGCCCTGCCATCCAGGGAGACTTATAGCATGAGGGGCTGCTAGGTCACGGGGGTCCCAGAGAGTCCCAGATAGTCCCGGAGCTGGAGCCAGAGCGTCTGCCCTGCATCGAGGGAGAGGGGGCAGTGGGCCCTCTGCTCACTCAGCATGGCCAGACCAGGCAGGGCACCCCCGCTGAGCCCCCTGAGCCAGCCTGCCCTCTGGGCCCGGATATCCAGGTAATAGGGGTGGCAGGCAGAATGGTGGCCCAGCCGCTCACCTGTGGCACCTCCAGCCCAGAGGTGGGAGGGGGGTCCTGCCTCCAGCTGCACTTAATGACTGCATGAGAGAAGCAGGGAGCCGGGCCCCCAAAGGCAGGGCTGACAGCTGAGAGCATCTCCCAAGCATGCACCAGAATTAGAAGCTGCTGGGTAGGCAAAAAGGCTGAACAGGAGGTGCCGCAGGCTGAGGTTCCTAGCACCCCCATGAGAAAACGGGGTGCCACAGTGGCAGGCACAGCAGCGTGCTGGCACAGGCCGGTGGCAGCCAACAACCAGGTCCAGGCCCCCGCTCACCAGGCATGCTGGTACACTTGACAAGTATTCACTGAGCACCTATTGCATGCCAGATGCTGCTCCAGGCACAGGGTGACAGGCAGACAGAAATAACCCCTGCCCTGGCAGGCTCGGGCTATGCCTCAAGGAAAAAATCCACAGAAAGGGAAAATAAAGAGAAACCCACAGGGCCCCAATACCAGAAGAACTTTGGAGAACATAAGACAGGTGAGGAGGTGGGCAGGTAGGGGACCAACGCTCCAGGAAGCAGAAGCTCATCACAGGAAAAGACCCAAAGTATGTGTGGGAACAAGGGGACAGGCGAGAAAGGAAAAGGGCCTCGGGCCAAGAACCTTAGCAGGGGTATCCCCAATTTGTGATGCTTAAAGAAGGGGTTCCATTTCGGGGACAGTGGGCAGTGACTTCCTAAACCCCAGAGTCACCTGGTGTGTGTGATGGCCCCCGGTGGGACCGAGCTCTTCAGAGGGGTCCTTGGAGCTCTGGAGGGTGGGACCCCACCTAGCGCCATGGTCACGGGCGGGTCTCCGCTCCGGGGCACACAGCCTACTTGTGGGGCCCCGGAAGACAGGGCCCAGGACACGGAGCCAGAGGGGCTGACCTGGGCAAGGTAGAGCGGACCAGCCGCTGCCCGCGGTCCCCGCCGCCGCGCCCCGCCCGCCACTCCTGAGGACAAACTAGAGGCCAACTCCTGGACTGGCCTGGAAAGCTGAAGGGATTCAAGCTAATTAAGAATAAATCTTAACAACCGGAAAATGTTCCTTTACAGCCAAGTGCCTTTTGGCTCTGAGAGACAAGCACAAGCACGCCCAGGCTCGAGGCTCTGTACTCCTCCATTTACTGAGCGCTTCCAGCGGCGGCCCTGCGGGGCTGCAGGTGAGGTTGGGGAGCTGTGGTCCCTTCCCAGTCCAGCAGGCAGGGTGTGGATTTGGAGCCACCATCCTCCCCACTCAGCCCCACTGTGCACCGCGAGGGCCTACTAGGTACCAGGGGCTTTCTGGTGCTTTCTGATTTTGCTAACAACCCTGAGCAGATTGTGCTCCTGTTTACAGAGAACGAAACTGAGGTGTGGAGAAGGCACTTCACCTGTTCCAGGTCAGTCCCAAAGCTACTGAGTGTGAAAGCTGAGATTCAAACACTTCTTTATCATTAACTATAGTCACCATGCTGTACATTACATTCCCGTGACTGCTTTTATAACAGGAAGTTTGTACCTTTTGGCCCACTTCACCCATTTTTACCCAACCTCCAACGCCTGGCCCCTGGCAACCGCTAATTTGTTCTCTATACCTATGAGCTAGACTTTTTTCCTTTATTTTTTAAGATTCCACATATAAGTGAGATTGTATGCTATTTGTCTTTCTCTGACTTATTTCCTTAGCATAATACCCCCAAGGTCCACCCATGTTGTCACAAATGGCAAGATTTCCTTCTTTTTAAATGGCTGAATTATATTCCATTATATATATGAGTGTGTGTATATATATATATATATGTATATATATGTATATATATGTATGTGTGTGTATATATATGTGTATATATATATGTATGTGTGTGTGTGTGTATATATATATATATATATATATATATATATATATGGCACATCTTCTTTATCCATTCTTCTATCAATGAGCACTTAGTCTGCTTCCATATCTTGACTTTCATAAATAATGCTGCAAGGTTACATAAGGGTACATGTATCTTTTCAAATTAGTGTTTTTCTTTTCTTCATGTAAATACCCAGACGTGAACTGGTAGTAGTAATCTACCCAGTAGTTTTAATTAGACCTTTTTACCAAATTTTCAGTCTTTCAGACTTCGCTCCCTCACTTCCAATTTCCCTGAGATGGCCACTGTACAGATAAAAGGGACTTACTATGCCCTCTTGGCAGCAGCAAGGAGGGGTCCCCAGACCACCATGGCATCCTCTGAATCCAGTGATCCTTGCTGCTGAGTGGCTGGATTGCCTGACCCCAAAGGCGCAACTGTAACCATCACAGACCAGTTCAAACTGGCCCTATCATATCAATGACAGAATGTCAAAGTTACCTTGCAGGGGCACTGAGTCTAAACTGTGAGTCATGTAACTGGAACATGTGCAGAAGAGGATATTTTGACCTGAAATAACACCTGGCACCAAAGTTTTTCCCCACCGTGGAACCAAAGGACTGGGACACGGCCGGAACTTGAAAGCCAGAACTTCTTCACAAGAAGGGTCCATTGTTCAGGAAGATCTGGTGTTAAAGCCCTTTTGCAGACCTTACCATAAATGGTCTTGTTTAAAGTCATTCCGATCAAAATCTGTCCTGCCAGTGTTTCCTCATACCAACCCATCCTTCCCTAACTCATA